GGGGCTCGATCCCCGGCCCCTGGGATCATGACCTGAGCTGAAGGCAGATGCTTAACCAACTGAGCCACCCCGGCATCCCTGATTTAAAATTTACATGGAATAGCAAAGTGCCAAGATCACCAAGACAATCTTTAAGAACGAACATGGAGGTTTACACTGTCAGCTATCAAGAATTGTTATAAAAATACAGTAGATTAAAATAGCATGAAATTGGCACAAGAATTTTAAGAAACAGACCAACAGAACAGAAGATATCATAGAAAGACTCAGATATATATGGCCACTTGATTTAAGATGACACTACAGAACAAAGGAAAAGATGGGTCTTTTCAATAAATGGTACTGGCTAATTCAATATTCATATGAAAAACACTGACTCTTAACTTCCAAATCATACCATCACAGATTCAATTCCAGATGAATTAAAGACTAATTACATTTGGGCTAAACTGTTTTCCCCAAAATTTATATGTTAAAGGCCCAGTACCTCACAATGTGACTGTATCTGGAGAGAGGCCCTTTAAAGAGATGATTAAGATGAGGCCTTTAGGGTGAGCCCTAATCTATCTAATCAGACTGGTGTCCCTATAAGAACAGGAAACATTGGACACCTGCGTGGCTCAGTCAGTTAAGCCTCTGCCTTTGGCTCAGGTCATGATCCCAGGGTGCTGGGATCCAGCCCTGCATCAGGCTCCCTGCTCAGCGGGGAACTTGCTTCTCCCTCTGCCTCTGCTGCTCCCCCTTCTTGTGTTCTGTCTCTCTCTCTCTCAAATAAATAAATAAAATTTAAAAAAAAAAGGGGGAGGAAATATAGACACACAAAGACACCAGAAATGAACACCTGAACAGAGGTAGGACCATGTGAGGTACGGGCAAGAAGGCGATTACGCACAGGCTAAGGAGAGGAGCCTCATAAGAAATCAAACCTGCCAACACTTTGATCCAGAACTGTGAAAATATTAATTTCTGTTGGATAAGCCAGCTGGCCTTCGGTATTTTGTTACGGCAGCCCTAGCAAACTTATACAAAGACTAAATGAGAAAAGTAAAACAAAGTTTCTAAAAAATAGCACAAAAGAGTATTTCCATATCCTTGAGTAGTCAAAAATTTTTAAATAAGAAACAAAAAGCAACCATCAAAAGACAAGATTGACAAATTAGACTATGTTAAAATTAAGAACTTCTGCTTACCGTTTGAAATAAAAAGGCAAACCACACAGTGGCGGAAAATATTTGCAGGACATATATCTGACAAAGGGCTCGTATTCAAATATAGAAAATATTCTACATACCAAAAAGGAAAAGGAGAGATAGCCACACCTTTTCAAATGTGAAAAAAAAAAAAAACCTCGAGCAGGGAACTTCACAAAAAGGATATCCAACATGACCAATAAATACTTGAAAAAGTGCTTAACCTCATTATCAGGGAAATACAGACTGAAACCACAATGAGACACCACTATATACATGTACCACAATGGTTAAAATTAATAAGATTGGTAATATAAAGGGCAACTGAACACTCACACTTTACAAAGCATTAATAATCTCAAACTTACATTGAAGTATCTGCCTTGAAAAGTATTAAGTCCTCTGACTCTAACATGAATGTTAATATTTTCAAAAATATCTTACCTCTTTTTGAACAAGGCTAAATTTTTCAAGTAGTTTACATTTTTCATCAATTAGTGTAGAAAGTTCTATAGCAAGCTTGTTCTCTCTCCCTGAAAAGAAAGTTCATATCATCATCATATGTAAATTGTTTTAAGTTTCAAAATTATGAACAATAATGATGAGATCTAGAATAGAAAAAAGCTTACCCACATAAAGCCAGCTTCTAACCTGAAACAAATTTTTAACAAAAATTACATTAAAACAAATATATATTCAAGTAAATCTAATCTATTTAACTTCTACCAACTGAAAAATAACTGGTTTCTTATTGCCTTAGTATGAATATACATTAACTGAAAGTGTTCTTTTTTCAAAAGGAAAGAAATGCTACATATTAGAGTCTCTCTACTGAAGAGTCAATTATGTATTAGCATATTAAAGGCTCTGAAATAACTCTACCTTAAAGACACCTGTTTCATTTCATTTATTCCACTGTTCTTCAAATATACTTGACCCTAAAACAAACTATTTCAGGAAGCCCTTAGTATCCTCTCCCCCAGTGATAACATCCAAAATAACAGAGTTTGAGAAAATGTTACCATAGGGCCATGGATTGAACTGACTACAAAATCTTTTTCTTCTTTAATCTCTTTCTCTCTAAAAAAATGAAGGAAAAATCCCATTTGTAAAGGTGAACAGGCTTAGAAGACTAAAATCATCTACAGAAGATATATAGGGATAAAATTTTAAAGTGTTTTTTTTTTAAGTTTTAAAGTCAAAGTACAGTAGAATCAGTACTGATGAAGACTAAATTAGTGAACTGAATCATCACATTGAGGACCTATCTCAAAAGGTAATAAGAACCTATAAAAAAATTGAAAAACCAAAGTTAAGAAATATGGAAGACAGAAGTAGAAGGGGCAGGATCTAAAAACACAGTCCCAAAAAGAGAAAAACAAAATGTAAAATGCAGAAGGAATCTCCTAGGATTAAAAAAGGATGAAAGATCTCATATTAAAAGATTCCAAGGAATTCTAAAAAGAATTCTAAAAAGACAAGGAAGTAAGGGTTTAAAGTATTAAAAGGAAGTAAGGGTTTGAAGTATTAAAAGGACAGAACTTGAACTTGGGACCTCGAACGTTTATATCAAACAAATTACAATTCCAATGTGGGAGCTTAATTCAAATATCCTCAAGCACTCAAAATAAAGTCTCAAAAAGTTTGCCATATAAAGATCTACACTAAAAACAATTTCGAAAGAAGTATTCAAATACGGGAAGAAGTAAATCCAGGAGACCCTGCAAGAGATATGTCAATTAAGAGTAACCAAATATCAGGGCGCCTGGGTGGCTCAGTCGTTAAGGGCCTGCCTTCAGCTCAGGTCATGATCCCAGGGTCCTGGGATCGAGCCCCGCATCGGGATCCCTGCTCAGCGGGAAGCCTGCTTCTCCCTCTCCCACTCCCCCTGCTTGTGTTCCTGCTCTATCTCTCTCTGTCAAATAAATAAAATCTTAAAAAAAAAAAAAAGAGTAACCAAATATCTTGGTAATATTTTTTTGTGGTCGTACGGGATAGGGACAGGGTAGAGGAGAAAGTTAAAAACAAAGAAAAGAAAAGGAGAAAGGGGAGCCAGGGTGGCTCAGTTGATTAAACGTCCGACTCTTGATTTTAACTCAGGTCATGACCTCAGGGTCATGGGATGGAGCCCCACGGTCAGGCTCCTTGCTCAGTGTGAAGTCTGCTTGTCCCTCTCCCTCTGCCCCTCCCCCTGCTCATGCATGCTCTCTCTCTCTCTCTCAAATAAATAAACATCATCTTTTTTTTTTAAGATTTTATTAATTTATCTGAGAGAGCAGAAGCAGAGGGAATGCAGGCAGAAGGAGAAGCAGCAGGCCCCCCACTAAGCAGAGAGCCCGCTGTGGGGGTCGATCCCAGGACCCTGGGATCATGACCTGAGCCAAAGGCAGATGCTTAACCAACTGAGCCACCAGGTGCCCCAATAAATAAAATCTTAAAAAAATTTAAAAAAAAAGAAAAGAAGAAATATGTCTGGGTTGGAAAGTGAAAGAAACCAAGGGATGTGAGAGTATGCTAAGGTTCTTGTCTTCATTGCAGGAAGATTTACTTACCAATGCAAAAAGAATTTAAAAGAAACATAAAAAGTGGAATAAATAAACTAAGCTGAAAGAAACTCATCCAAATACATCAATAAACATAATATATATAGTTAGACTAAACTCAATGGGGGAAAAAAACAGATTTTCAGATTAGATATAAAAGAAATTTACATAGGATGCACATTAAGTAGAAGACCATAGGAAGGCTGAAAAGCAGAAGATGGAAAAAGACCCATCAAACATCACCCAAAAGAAAGTTGATATGGCTATAACAAGAGATAAAAGAAACCATAAGAGAGAAGTAACACAAACATTAAAGAGGATCACCAGATATTGATAAAAAGTTCAATCCACCAAGAAGAGATATAGCACTTCTAAACATATATACACCTAATAAAATATGCTCAAAATATGTAAAGCAAGAATTGATGGAACTGCAAAAAGAAACTGATAAATCTATCATGAGAGTGAAATTCAGGCAAATTCTCTTCCTTTTTGATAGAGGAGAGAAACAAACAAAAAAGAGCAAGAACATAACACATGAACACAAATTAGATCAAGCAAGCTTGATCTAATTGATGGATACAGAATGATATACATATATCTGCTTTCAACAATAAACAGTGGAATAGAATAAAGAAAAGATCTACATGCATGTGGAACTCTAATATGTGGCATGGCAGATGGGTAGGAAAATTATTATATTCAAGATGGATCAAGAACTGAAGTGTTGAAAACAATATTTTCAAATAATTTCTGTTCCTAAGAAAACATCTTAAAGAAGATGAAAAGATGTTTCATACTGGTACATTGATTTGGGACATTTGGGTTATTTCCAGGTTTTTTTTCTATTACAAATAGTGCTGCTGTGTATATTCTTATCCCTCTTGAATACAACTTTTTTGTCTGGCATGAGGTAGGGATTCAGTGTATTTTTAACCCCAAGGTATAAACTAGTATATTCTTACAATGTAACATTCTAAAGCAATCAAAATGGAAAAAAACACACCCTCATCTAAAAACATGGATGAATCTTAGTAATAGAGGATAAACTAAAAAAATTCCAAAATATGACTTATGGCATGATACCAAACAAAATTACATACTATACTTCTGAGGAATATATGTAGATATGACCAAAAAAATTTTTAAGGCATATGAATAATCAACACAGAATCCAGAACAGGGTTACCTCTAGTACAAGGAAGAAAGGGGAAAAGGGGATGCAATTAGGGAATATCACCTAAATATAAGTGACAGTCAATGGCTTTGCTTGCAGAGTGAGTGGTACATTCACAGATGTTTAGTATACCCTTTACACAGATCACGGGGCGCCTGGGTGGCTTAGTCAGTTAAGCGCCTGTCTTCAGCTCAGGTCACAATACCAGAGTCCTGGAATCCAGCCCCGCATCAGGCCCCCTCTCCCTCTGCCCCTCCCCCCTCATAATCCTCTCTTTCTCTCTCTCTCTCTCTTGCTCTAGCTCTCAAATAAATAAAATCTTTTTAAAAATAAACAGATCAAAATAAATAAATAAAATATAAATGTAGGATTTTAATATTAGTGTAGAATACTTCTACAAATAAAGTCTTTAAAATTTTTACACTTAAAAAAATCCCTCTGAATCCATAGTCAGCTTCTAGTAGCCACACATTAACGTGAGAAATGCACTTAACAATAAGCTAACTTGGGGCACCTGGGTGGCTCAGTCATTAAGCGTCTGCCTTCAGCTCAGGTCATGATCTCAGGGTCCTGGGATCGAGCCCCACATGGGGCTCCCTGCAGGGTGGGAAGCCTGCTTCTCCCTCTCCCGCTCCCCCTGCTTGTGTTCCCCCTCTCACTGTGTCTCTCTCTGTCAAATAAATAAAATCTTAAAACAAACAAACAAGCTAACTTGTTTCCTTAAAATAAAAGATCTGTTTCTCATATTAACTGTTCAACCTTAAGACACATGTATATTCTCTTAGCATTCGTTACTTACCAATTGAAAACTTCTCCACAAAAACAAGAGAACAACAAAAAATCCAACAACACCTGCGCATATCACCAATTCCCATGGGAAACCATAGGGCTTAGGACCTCTCATATCTTCAGGCAATGCTGCCACAACCTTCAAGACAAAGAAAATTAACTTTTCAAAAATGCACGTTTGATAAAAAGTGTTGATTACAAACTGATATACATGGAATGTTTGTATCCCCCCAAAATTCATATGTAGCAACCTAATCCCCAGGGTGATGGTATTTGGAAGTAGGGCTTTGGGGAGGTGATCATGAACGCAGAGCCTTTGTGCATGGAATCAGTGCCCTCATAAGAGGCCATAGAGACTTCCCTGGACCTCTCCACCATGTGAGGTAATAATGAGAAGAATGAACCAGGAAGTGTGCCTTTACAGACACAGGATCTGCAGCTCCTTGATCTTGGCCTTCTCAGCCTCCAGAACTGAGAACAACGTTACTTGTTCAACCCACCCAGTCTGTGGTGTTTTTATTAATAATAGGAGCCCTCAGAAACTAAGACACAAACATAAGTACAAGTTTATGTGTAAACACTATTAACACCCTTTCCATGAAATGGGCTACCAGACTACCAAACAGAAGGTATCACAGTATATTTTTCTGGCAGGTGATGAAAAATAACACTATGGTATAATGCAGTGACTTGCAAACTGGAGTCTACAGAGACACAGAGCTTCTCAGAATAAGCGGAGAGAAGGCCAAAGAAAGAATCTGAGTTCAGGTCCTCTAACACTGAGATCAACCAGTTTAGGTTTTACGTGTAGAGTATACTGGATTCCATTTATGATTTCCCCACAGTGGGGGAAAAAATAGATCTGCAGCTTAAAAAAAAAAAAAAAAAAAAAAAAGTTTGAAAACCACCGATGAAGCTTTGGGTTTGGAATCTGAATGCCTCTACCCTACTTCTGTGGCTCCCTTCTCTTATCTGTCTTGGGAATAATGCTGTTTCAACATGCAGGGCAGGTACTCGGTAAAGGTAACTATTTCTATTAATCCTTCAAAGACCATGATCCTGTAACCATGGCCTTTCCACACTACTTCTCTCCCTAACAGGTCTTTGGCATAAAACAGCTTAAGGCTTTTACAGTTCCTCCTGTATTTCATCTTTCCCTGGGTCAGTTCATTATTCATCCTCACCCAATGGGGTTATTCTTTTCTTACCAGGCCCCAGATACTACTCAATCACAGAAAGAAGAATGATAGGGGGAAAAAGAAAAATGCGCTTTTAAGAAAAACCTGAAGTCTAATCAGGTTTGATTCTTTCCAGGGTTCAACCCAAAACCTGTATGACCAATCTTCCCTTTTTAGGCCCTTTCTACCTAGAAAAACACCCTTTAATGTCTATTCTCCTCTCCAAAGTCTGTTTCATAACTCTGATCCATATAAGTATTCCTTCCAAATTGCTTTCTATACTTCATTAACCTGTATTAAATAAACCTGATTATACCTTTTCTAAAAAAAAAAAAAAAAAATACCCCTTTACTCTGATCTCTGCCTCTCCCTACAATACCCCAGTTACCAATTCACAAGAAATGTGTATTTAAAAAAAAAAAAAACTTCCAACCTGGAAAAGCTCAGGACCAGACGGATTCACTAGAGAATTCTACCGAAAGTTTACAGAAGAATTAATGCCAATCATTCTCAAACTCTGCCAAAAAATAAAGGAGGGAACTCTTCCTAATTCATTCTATGAGGCCAGTATTACCTTGATATGACAGCCAAACAAATATATCACACAAGAAAAGAAAACCACACGTCAATATATGATATAAATGCAGAAGTCCTCAATCAAATACTGGCAAACCAAATATAGCAGCATATAAAAAGAACTATATACCATGACCAAGTGGAATTTATCCCAGGAATACAAGGTTAGTTCAACATACAAAAATAAATCAATGTTATATACCATATTAGTAGGAAAAGAAAAATCACATGATCATCTCAATAAACACAGAAAAGACATTTAACAAGATCAAACACCCTTTATGGTCAAAACATTCAATAAACTAGGACTGAAGGGCACTTTCTCAACATGATAAGGGGCATCTATGAAAAACCAACAGCTAACATCATACTTAGTGGTGAAAGACTGAAAGCTTTCACCTTAAAATCAGGAACAAGATAAGGATATTCACTTTCTCCATATTCATTCAACATTGTACTGGAGGTTCTGGCCAGGGCAGTTAGGCAAGAAAAAAGTAAAAGGCACCTATATTGGAAAGGAAAAAATAAAACTATCTCCATTTGAAGATGACATAATTTTACATACAGAAAAGCCTAAATAGGCCTAAAATTCTAAAATAAGAATTCAAATAAGAAACTATTAGAGCTAATAAACAAGCTCAGCAAAGCTGCTGAATACAAAATCAATACAGAAAAAATCAGTTCTATTTCTATACAATAACAATGAGCAATGTGAAAATGAAATTAAGAAAACACTTCCATTGAGGTGCCTGGGTGGCTCAGTTAGTTAAGCATCCAACTCTTGATTTCGGCTCAGATCATGATCTCATCAGGGTCCTGAGATCAAGCCCCACATGGGGCTCTCCACACTGGGCGTGAGACCTGCTTAAGATTCTCTCTCTCCCTCTCCCTCTGCCACCCCTCCTCCCTCTCTCTCTGAAAAAAAAAAAAAAAAAGAAAGAAAGAAAACATTTCCATTTACAAGGCATTCAAAAAGAATAAAAGACTTAGGAATAAGTTTAACAAAGTAAGTGCAAACCTTACACACTCTGAAAACTACAAAACACTGTTGAAATAAATTTAAGTTCTAAACAAATGGAAAGATGTCCCATGTTTATAGATTGGAAGACTTAATATTGTCAAGATGGCAATACTCCCCCAAAGTGATCTACAGAATCAACGCACTCCCTATCAATATTCCAACTGCCTCTTTTGCAAAAATGAATAGGCTGATCCTAAAATTCATGGAAAAATGCAAGGTATAGCATTTCCTTCTCTATAGCTATATAGCCATAGAAAGAGAGACAGACAGACAGACAAGGAAGGAAGGAAGCAAGCAAACAAGCAAGCTTGGACTACTCATACTTTCCTATCTCAAAGCTTACAGCAAAGCTATCATAATCAAGACAGTTTAGTAATGGCCTAAGGATAGGCAAATGAACAATGGAATAGAAATGAGTATCCAGAAAGGAACTTAAATTTATGGTCAATTGATTTTGAACAGCAGTACCAAAACAAATCAATGGAGAAGGAATAATCTTTTCAACAAATGTTACTGGGACAAGTGGATCCCCACATGAAAAGGAATGAATCTGAACCCATACTCATACCACATATAAAAATTAATTAAAAAATGGATCACAGACCCTAAGGTAAGAGCTAAAACTCTTAAAAGAAATCACAGTTGTAAAACTTTATGACGTTATTTTTAGCAATGGTTTCTTAGATATGACACCAAAAGTACAAACGACCAAAGAAAAAAATAGTTTTCATCAAAACTGAAAATCTTCATACTTCAAAGGTCACAATCAAGACAGTGAAAAGACAACCCACAGAATGAGAGAAAATATTTGCAAACCATATATCTGATAAGGGTCTAATATCCTGAATATATAAAAGAACTCTTATGACTTCAACAATAAAAAGACAAATTACCCAATTTTTTAAATGAGCAAAACAAATGAATAGATATTTCTCCAAGGAAGATACACAAATGGTGAATAAGCATATGTACAGATGCTCAACATCATTAAAATTACAGGAATGGAAATCAAAACCACAATGAGATACCACTTTGCATTCAGTAAGGTGGCTATTAAAAAAAAAAAAAGTGTTGGAGAGGATGTGGAAAATTTAACCCTCTTGAATTGCTGGTGGGGATGTAATATGCTGCAGCCTCTGTGGAAAACAATTTGGCAAGTCCTCAAAAAGTTAAACATATGGTAAATATGACCCAGTAATTTCACTCCTAGGAATATATCCAAGAGAACTGAAAACATGCACAAAAAACTTATACACGAATGTCCATAACAGTATTACTCATAATAGCCAAAAGAGTGAAAACAATGCAAATGTCCATTAACTATGAATGGATATTCAAAATGTGGTATATCCATACAACGGAATATTTTTCAGCCATAAAAAGGAATGAAGTACTATTACTTGGGGTGAATCATGAAAGCATACTAAGTAAAAGAAGCCTTAGACAAACGGCCACATATCACATGATTCCATTTACATGAAATATCCGGAATTGACAAATTCATAGAGACAGAAAGTAGATTAGTAGTTGTCAAGGGATGGAGAGAGGGGAAAATTGGGAATAACTGCTAGTAAGTACAGAGTTTCTTTTTGGGGTGATGGAAATGTTCTGGACTTGCAATGGCTGCACAACACAGTGAATATCCAAAGAAAAATAACTGAATTGGAGACTAAAAAGGGATGAATCTTACATGAATTATGGTTTAATAAAAAATAAATTAATCTTTTAAACTAAAAGAAAAAATTTAAAGCAGAACAGTGTTGTGCCATCCTAGCCCCCAGGCCCATTTGGTGAGCACAGTGGTTTTTAGCAAAGAAATCATCCAGGTAAAGATACATTTATAGGACTAGAAACAGTTCTGCAAAATCTGGCTACCCCTCTCCATGTGTCTCTTCATTCACAGTCCTATAAAAACTAAGTTTTGGTTATTACAGGTTTTAGCAAAGAAAAGGAAATATGTACAATCTAAAATCATCTCTTGTTCCACAATATGCTTCTCTTCCTATAAACCCTATCTCTGTGAATGAATAGGTTGCCATAGCCAGAAACCTGGCAGTCATTCCGGATTCCTTCACATCCAATCAGCGAAATCCTACCCATTTTAGCTCTTAGCTACTAAATATTTTCCCCATTCAGCACCCTCTTCTTTATCCCTAACTTGACTACTCTGTCATCCCTCCCCTACACCATTTCTAGTTTTGTTTTCCTTACATCTAACCTACATGCTACCATCAGGAAGCTATTTAAACCAAAAGTCTAACCACTGAAATTCTTCAAATGCTCTCCAGCACCTACATCGACTGGAATCTACTTACGTCTCCAACAAGTATCATTGTGCGCGTCATTCCCTGAGTCTACTTTGTA